CCACTTCCGTGAGAGGTGTCTTCTCTGACGAACACATGTATGCAGTAAGCTCTCCTCACTGCCACCTGCCCCTTACTCAGCGGTCTAAAGATTTGACCCAGATTCTTGGATTAACAACGAGGAGAGTCCATCTCTGTGTGTGCTGAACGATTGCAGGCAAACTCTGGACTGCGGGAGCCCATAAGCGGCCAAAGGGCCTAGAGCAAGAAAACCAGCTGGTCTGTAGGGTCAGAGATGGAGGCAGTACCAAAAGTCCAGAGAGAACTCCCTGGGGCCCTCGCAGCCAACCTTTTTTGGATTCAGTTCTGTTTTTCTGCCTTTTGGTTCTAAAATTCATTCTTGGGATTCTCATAAGAAAATGTCTTCCTTTTTCTTTTTGCTTACCCTAGCTCAACTCAAGTTATTTCCTGTTACTTACAACCCCAAGAGTTACACTCGGAGTTACCAAAACCCAATGTCTGGGAAACAAGGTAAGGGGATGGGCACATGACAATAGGAAGACAATAGTTAAAACAACAATTTTTTAAAATATGGGATTTAGATATGACACAAAACGCACAACAGACAAAAGAGAAAAAATAGATAAATTGGACTTCATCAAGATGTAAACTTTTGCACTTCCAAGGATACCATCAAGAAAGGAAAGAAATCCCTTCAGAATGGGAGAAAATATTTACAAATCGTATATTTGATAAGGGATATATATCTAGATTATATAAAGAACTTTTATAATTCAACAATAAAAAGACAGTAACCCAATTTAAAAATGGGCAAATGAGGGGTGCCTGGGTGGCTCATTCAGTTAGGCGTTTGACTTTTGATTTCCGTTCAGGTCATGATCTCAGGGTCTTGGGATCGAGCCCTGAGTCAGGCTCCAGCTCCACGCTCAGCGTCGAGTCCACTAGAGATTCTCTCTCTCCCTCTGCCCCTCCCCCCTCATGCTCTCTAAATAAATAAAATCTTAAAAATAAAAGAGCAAATGACTTAGACATTTTGTCAAAGAAGATATGTAAATGGTCAATAAGCATGCAGAAAGATGTTCAACATCATTATCATTTTGGGAAATTCACATCAAAACTAGAATGAGGTATCTGTCCATATCCACTAGGATGACTATAATAAGAAAGCTGGGTAATAACAAGGGATTGGTGAGGTTGTGGGGAAATTGTACCCTCATGCACTAAGCATGGAGATGTAAAACAGTGCAGCAGCTCTAGAAAACAGTCTGGCAGGTCCTCTAAATGTTAAACATAGAGTTACCATATGACCTGGAAATTCCACTCCTGGGTATATACCCAAGAGAAAAGAAAACAAATGTCCACACAAAAACCTCGTATATGGATATTTGCAGCAGAATTATTCCGAATTGCTAAGAACTGCAAATAAGCCCCGTGTCCATCAACAATGACTAGATAAACCAAGTGGGGCATATCCAGACAATGAACTATTATTTATTCATAAGAAGAAATGAAGTTGGTATATGCTACAGCCTGGATGAACCTTGAAAACATTATACCAAGTCAAAGAAGCCTATAACAAAAGACCATGTATCATATCATTCCATTTATATGAAATGTTCATTGAGACCCCCTTAAGGGGCTAAAGAAAGGAGATGGGGAGTGACTGCTAATAAATATTGGGTTTCTTTTCAGCCTGATAAAAGTGTTTGAAGTAAATATTGATGATCAGTACACAGCTTATGAATATACTTAATAAACATTATACTTTAAAGGAGTATTTACCCCAAAGACACAGATATAGTGAAAAGAAGGGCCATATGCACCCCAATGTTCATAGCAGCAATGTCTGCAATAGCCAAACTGTGGAAAGAGCCGAGATGCCCTTCAACAGATGAATGGATAAAGAAGATGTGGTCCATATATACAATGGAATATTACTCAGCCATCAGAAAGGATGAATACCCAACATTTGCGTCAACATGGATGGGACTGGAGGAGATTATGCTAAGTGAAATAAGTCAAGCAGAGAAAGTCAATTGTCATATGGTTTCACTTATTTGTGGAACATAAGGAATAGCATGGAGGACATTAGGAGAAGGCAGGGAAAAATAAAGGGAGGGAATTCAGAGAAAGAGATGAACCATGAGAGACTATGGACTCTGAGAAACAAACAGGGTTTTAGAGGGGAGGGGGGTGGGGGGATGAGTTAGCCCGGTGATGGGTATTAAGGAGGGCACGTATTGCATGGAGCACTGGGTGTTATACAAAAGCAATGGATCGTGGATCACTACGTCAAAAACTAATGATGTATGGTGACTAACATAATAAAATTAAAAAAAATAAAAAATAAACATAAAGAAATAAAGGGGTAAACTTTATAGTATGTGAATTATATCTCAACAATGCTAGGAAATAAAATTTTATTTAAAAAAATGCGGGGAAGAAATATATTGCCCCAACCTAATCACTTAAAAAAAAAAACAAAAACAAACGTAATCACACTTACAGTGAAATCTAAGGCAAATTTTAACTGGCTGTGTAAAATTGGCCAAGTTGCTTATTTCTCTAAGTCTCAATTGTTTCTCCTGCCAAGTGGGAATAATGATGATATATATCCCATAAGGTCATTTTAATGATTAAATGAGGTAGTTCATATAAATCTCTTGGAAGACTGTTAATTATACAATATGTGCTCAATAAATGTTAGCAGTCTCATAGTTACTAACTTACAAATGTAATTGTTATGGCTGAAGAACTCTTCCTTTCCCCATGCACCACTCCAACTAGCCCAGATGCAACTCAGAGAAAAGATGGAGGGCAGCATGGAGAAATGCCGGGAAGCTGCAAGAATGGCTGCAGACCAGACCAAAAATTTTCATGAGTAAGAAACAAATACGATCGCTAAAGGTGCATCTTCATCAATATGGATGGAACCCAATTAATTCAATTGAACTCCATGAAAAATGGGGAAGCAGAGCTACTTCCATGTGTTGAGAAGGTGACTATATTTTATTTTATTATGATTTTATAAATCATGGCCAGTGTATACTTTTATGAACAAGGTAAAACTTCATTTTGGAATGGTGATTAGGAAGATCACTGGCGCCTAACAAAGACAATTCCCTACCGCTCAATTGGATGATCAGAAATCCAACTGGCTGACCCACTTTTCTCAAGGAGATTTTTGTTGCCCAGCGCCTTTCAAGAGGGAGGTAATGGCAGTGGGATCTTTGAGACCCCTGCAGCTTCCTTCTTTGGCAGCACTCGGGTAGAAACACTTCTAAAATTCTAACACTTTACCCCACTCCTCTTCCTTTTCACCTAGCTTATACTTTCACCTTCCTCTGGCTCACTTTATGAATATGATGAGGCTTTTACAGTCAGCAGTTGTTTGCTTTGAAATGACCGGCCTTTGCTCTGTGCTTCTTGGCTTTCTGCTGGCTCTCCCATGGACATTGCGGTTTATAGGGTTCCTGGGAAGTGGGGTGTTACTGCATGCGCTAAGCACGCAGTTTGTCTTTCACTTTAAAGAACTGTAATCAGAACTGCAATGAGATTCTCATTTTTCCCCCTAAACTGGACAGTCAATTCCTGAGGACAGAGGCATTTTAGAAATTTTTGTTTCACCTTTGTATTGTTATTCACCTTTGTATCTCTAGCTCAGAGTGCAGGCCCTGACATGTGGTAGCCATTCGGTGACCATGTGGGGAGTGGACACGGAGGAAAGTGCCTTTGTGCCAGTGGATTTGAAGTCATATTGTCTTGCTTTTCATCAGAAAGGAGCAGAAGCCCAGCCAGCATCCCTTCTCTTCTCCTGCCTCCTCCACGGTGCTCTTCCTCTTACTACCATCTATGAATGAGCTTCCCTCACTGCTTCCTAAGACATGCCCCACATTTGGACCTGTAAACCAGAGCACCCCCAGATTCCCTTTTAGGAGATACTCCCTGCCCCTGTTGCTGGGACTGTTGGTGTTAAGGGCTCACACCAAATGCCTCTGCAGGCATAGCCCCCACCCAAGGGAGCTCCCCACTGGGGTCAGTTCATATCCAGTGACTGTTCAGTGTGGCAGTTCCAGGGTCTAGACCCACCTCAGACCACTTTGAAGAGCCATTTTGGCTCCAGAATTCTCTGTGGGATTGAGAGAGAGAGAGAGAGAGGGGGGGGGGCTATAGCATAGCCCATATTTTCCTCCTATCTACTCCTGCTGCTTCACCGTCCTCATGGTGTTTTCCCCAAGAGCACACCTCAATAAACTGCCCTGTGCACAAATTTCTGAGTCTGTTTCTCCAAGGAACCAATCCAAACAGTGAGACCCCAGCTGGAACCACCTGCAGCCCCTGGCTCAGCACAGTCACTGCCGAGTCAATGTTGATCACATGCTGGCCTTGTTCTGCACTCGCCTTTCCTCTTACCATGAGGACAGGTCAACAACTCGAGGCAGAGTTAGCCGGAAGTTGTGACCTGGGGAAATGGGTGCTAAGCCATCATCAAACCTAACCAGCAACAGACTCCCTGAGCTCTTGGGGCCATGGAATATTTGCATAAGAAACCAAATGAACCCCCATGGCTAATGAGGAGGGCCACAAATTCCTCAACACTCCCCACGAAAAGGAGAGAACGATGTCCCTACCACTGAGTCTGAGTGGAGAGATCAGGACCACCTTGAGCAATAGAAAATGGCAGAAATGATGCTGTCTGAGGTCAAAGGCCATCTTTCTACTGTGCGATGGTGCCCACTGTCCTTCTGAAAGGGGTAAGAATTTCAGACTCTTACAAGGGTTGCCCATCCAAGAGAAAAAAAGTTCCAATCACCAACAAGGTGAGGGGCTTTTACAACTAATTCAAACGAGTAATTGTGTAGAGTACTCATGTGCCGTCATGTGAATGCTCACTCTCGGGCTTCTGTGTTGGTGAGGTTACTGGCACCCGACTTGGAATTCATAGCTATTGACGTCATTAAATAGGTGATTTATTACCCAAGCAAAGTATTTGGCCCGATTGTTATGTCCGCCTGAAAAATATACAAAACGCTTACCTACCTACACAGGTGTGGCCATTGGAGTATCTGGCGCTGGGCTGGTCGTCAGAGGCTGGAGAGGCCGACGTGTGAAGAGGCAGGAGTAAGCACAGGGTTGTCGCCAAAAGGATATTCCAGAGGGACTTCATCTCAGACCCGTGCACCAGGAGGGACCAGCCTGGCTACAGAGGCTGCCCACCGAGGGACGCTGAAGCTGGGGCCACGGAAGCTTCTCTTCCGTTCTTTGACCCCCCCCCACACACACTCCCCACACTCTCACATATACACACTTTTCATACGTGTGAAGGGACTAGAAAAACATACAAACACTCACAGACCCACTCCTTCCTCTTGCAGAACCCTGAGAGAGAGAGCGAGAGGGCCAGACGCCTGCGCCCGGAAAGAGCTTCGAGGAGTCCCTGGGAGGCAGGTTTTTTGAGTTAAAAACTGCAGCGAAAGGACAAACCCAGGTGGCAGCAGCAGCAACAACGTGCCCTTCTGTGCTCGCCAGCTGAAGTCAGTCAGAAGCCGGGGGAACCTCGAGGCTTGCTGGAATCCTCCTGTGGGGTGGTTAGGAGGCCCTTCCCCTTTCGCTCTTGCAAAACGAAACAAAACGAAAACTGAAGAAAAAAAAAACCCACAAACGCACAACCTGTAGCAATGTGACCAGCAGCGTCTACACATTATAGAAATTATAATTTGCTCTATTCAGAAGTTACCTAGTTTTGCTCTAAATAATTTTGTATGGTAAGATTGAGCTCCTTATTCTGTTGCTAAAGAATATTCTGGTCAAGTAGTTCTTTTCCCCCGGGGTCAAGTTTTCTCACGGCCTTCAGTCTGGTGTGCAGGAAATAAGGAATAGAGACAGTAATGGGCAGTCAGCACGGCTGGATTTTAAATCTAATGAGAAGAAGGATGTGCTGGAATTAACCTGTTCATATTTACTTGGCTGTGTATGATGCATCTCTTTCCTCCAGAATTTCAAAACACGTTTATATTTCCCCACCTGTAGATGATTTGTTCATTTTTTAAGAGACTGACTTTCTGTTTTGAAGATGAGAACAGAATGCTGTTTTTCTGGGGGTTTGGGGCGAACTGAACCAGATCATAGATAAAGGACATATAACCTAAGTGCTTTGTTCTGAAACAGGATACAGCAAAGTCATATGCCATTCTCAGACAAGATAAGGGGATGGGGCCAAAGTACCACAATCTAGATAAGCCTGGGAGATCCTGCAATTTTTACTCTCCCTGTTGAGGCTCTGAGGAAAGCTTACTATAAAATTCATGAAATATTGTGAAAGCTATCAGACTTGGTAGAGAGCTCTCCTTCTCCCCCTCCTCCTGCTTTTACTCAAGGAATGGCATTGAAAATAGCAGGCAGAATTTTAGAGTTGTATTCTTTCCAGGCTGTAGGAAATACCAGTTTTTATGGTTTGAAGATTTCTTTGTAGGCATTAGTTTAATAAATGCCAATTTGTCAGATCTCTGAATCTGCAGCAGAGGTGTCACATGCCGGAGTGTTTCCCTGCTTATGTCCCGGGACAGGCTGGACCAACAGACGCCACAGATGACCTTGGTCACCATGGGCCTTTGACTTCCTTTGAGGCTGGTCCTCAAGGTCCCTGACCCTGTGATCAAGGAAAGCTCTGGAGGTCACCAGGACCACCACAGGGGGCAGGGCCTAGAGAAGTTCCAGAGACTTCCTGGAGAAGCAGGATAAATGGAATGATTAAAAGCTCATACTGCAAAGACAAAAAGACCTATGTTCAAATATCACACGTATTGTTTGCTTCTGAGTAATATAGTAGTCATATAAGCTTTAAATGCTTCAGTTTCCTCATTTACATGGGGATAATAATATTTGTCCTACAGGGTGCTGGAAGGAGTAAAATAGATGATGTAACCAAGCTATAAAGCCGTGTATCTGGCAAGAAGAGAGTGCTTAGTAAATCAAATCTTTGGTTATTATTCCAGCAGGAGTGTGATGAAATCTGCACCCCAGGCCAGCCTTGGAGAGAAGGATAAGATACCCGCACTAGGTGCAGGCCAAGGTGTGGGGAAATGGCATGGATTGGAGGAGGCAGCCTCTATTGAATGCTTTCTGTGTGCTAGGCAGCACTCCAGGAAGGCACAGTCTCGTTTGCTAACCCATAGGTCGGTGAGGAATCTTCAGGCAGCTTCCAGAAGAGAACTTGGCACAGGCTCTGGGCTTCCTGAGGTTCTTTTGGTCTAGATTTATAGCTGTGAGCAGGCTGTAAGCAGGCTTCTTGGGGTGAGAGGAATTTCTCAGCCTAACGCTGAATGCAAGTTTTCAGCCTTGGTCAATGTGTGTGTGACACAGGCAGTTCTGCCTATAAAACTGAACCCCACCCAGGAACAGTGAGCCCTGGGGCAACCTGAGGTGCTCAGGCTTGTGGCCTGGCCAAACTGGGAATTCCTGGCTTAGCTGAGCAGCACCAAGCAAGTCCCTTACCATTTCCAGTGATGAGATTCCTCAGCCATGTGGGTATGTCATAGTCATACCTGACACATGGTAGGTTTTCCACAGAGTGATTTTCTTGCTTGAAGGTCAGGTTCTTACTGGGCAGGGTCAAAAGAGGAAAACAGAAATCAGGAAGTGATTTTTGCTAACTAATGCTAAAGTAAATGCATGTGCAGACTCCCCCAACAAAACGTTCTGTCACCAAGTGGGGGGTTCCTCAAGGTGTCCCTCAGACTGGCTACTTTCATGTCCCCCCGCAGGGCTACCTTTGTCCGTTGAGCATTGAGAGCACAAGACCTAGGATCTCTGCACAATTTGCTGAAGGGCCCTGGATCTGCCCGTGGCTTATAATAACTAGCTGGACCCTGGACAATGTCCCTAGGGGACTCCTGCTATCAGATGCTCCAATATGGGTTTTCTCAATATCTGCTTTGGGGAATGAGATTTCTTCCTTGCAGCATTTTGTTACTTTACTTGGGGAGTTTCAAACCACAGTCCCTGTAGCAGAAGGCTGAGGGTTTATAATTCCCAAATGCCACACCTGTGGTTCTGGTTTGTTCTGTCTGAATATGCCTCCTGATTATTTTTTGACCTGTATTGGCCTCCACCATCTCATTCACAGCAAGTCCTTTAACCAGGAAAAAAAAAATGACCTAGATGGCAGGAGATACTGTAAAAGCTGGTGCTGTCACAAAAGCATACCTTTCCTTTGACTTTCTCCTCTTCCTGACACCAAGGGTCCCTCTCTTGGCTTTTGGCTTCCCAGGATTCTCTGCGGTGGTGCTCGGTTCAGACCCACCAACCCCAGATGCTTTGCTGACCCGCTCCTCCCCAGTCAGAGCTTATTTATTCTAGCTTTAGCCCATCCTCTTTCTGTTCTGTGCTAGGGAAATAGTAAATTAATCCACAACAAGGCTGCCCATCTGCTAATTAAAAGAGTTATGAATTTAGGAGGGGGGACCTACATTTTCATCGTGGCTTCACGATTTCCTAGCTGGGTGCCTTTGGACAAGTGGGTCCACCTCTCTGGGATTAGTTGCTGTCACTGTAAAATGGGTCATATGATGCCAATATTACAGAAAAATTCCTAGGATTAAAGAGACGATGAGAGTGAGAAAACCTACCACTAAATGTTGGAGAAATTTAAAGCTAACAATCAATTAACACTATCCTTCTCAAGTAATATTGGAATTTTAACATGCTTTGTACATTTTCTGAGGGCATTTAAAGGGATTTCCATTTTAGTAATGCATGTAAGTAGGTGCAAAGTTGGAATTCAGAAAGCCCCAGGGGAGTGGCCAGCCACAGGTCCTGGTTGGAGTGGGGAGACTTGTGATGTAATGTGAGTAGTAAGCACACAGTGGGCACTGGGTGAAAGTGTGGAGACCAGTAACGCCTCTCCCAGATGTATGCTGGTAGCTTCCAGCAGGAAGAGCCATGCACCAGGAGATAAACCAACGATCCTCTAGCAATGGGTGGCCCAGCAACGGTGCAAAGCAACCTAGACACACAACAGGATGTGTACTCTAACACTCCCCACAAACCCCACCCACTCATTCACACACTTCCAGGTTCTTGAGATTTTTAGAAATATGTATCTGGCAGGGGTATGCCATTTATAACCACAGCCTTCTAAGGAGGGTGCCTTCTATTAGATATTACTTGTTTTGTCTGCTGGGCACCTGATAAAAGTTCAGAAAAAGGAGCTGTGGTTAGTGAACTACTTTTCATAAGCAAGGCAGAAGAATTTGGACATAATCTGGAAGGAAGAGGGTAGGAACAGAGAAATGAGAGTGAAGGGAGAAATGGGACAGATGAGACACTAGCATCTTTATAGCTACAAAACCAAGAGAGAAGTGCTGGAAAGTGGGGTAGCAAAAGACTGAGCTAATAGAAAGGTCTGATGTAGATTTGCAAGTTGTTTACTATGCCATGTGTGAAATGATACTTTGCCCAGATCCTGAATGGATTTTTGTGGAAATCAATGAGAACAACTTTCCTGTTTGGATCAGAGCAAGGTAGAGCCATGAAGGCACAGGCAGAAGAAAGTGCAGAGGCAGAAGGACCAAGAGACAAGCTCAGGAATTCACAAGTATCTTGGGGAGGGCTTTGGACTCTCATGTGCTATAGACTGGGGAGGAGGTAGTCGTCAGTCACTTTGACCTACATCTCCAAAGTGTAGAGTTTGAATGCACAGAGAATAAAATCAAATAAACATCATCAAAGTAAGCTTGAAGTTCATCCATTCATTCCTTCATTCATTTTTAGATAGAAGAAGTCTGAGGTTAGGCAGTTCAGGGGGATTTTGGCCATCCCATGATGTCTTCAGGGACTTAAGCCCCTCATTTTCTTATTTTTTCAAAGATTTTTATTTAGTTATTTGACAGAGAGAGAGAGCACAAGCAGGGGGAGCGGGAGAGGGAGAAGCAGGCTCCCCACCGAGCAGGGAGTGTGATGCGGGGCTCGATCCCAGGACCCTGGGATCATGACCCGAGCTGAAGGCAGACGCTCAACTGACCGAGCCACCCAGGCACCCCTCCTTATTTTCTGTCCCACTATCCTAGAACTGATTTTTATCCTCAAGATCAGCAAAAGTCTAAAATGGCTGCTAGCACTCCAGCTATTGCGTCTACCTTCCAATAGTAGAAGAAAGAAGAAGGCCAG